CAATGAATTGAGAGGCAGATCAAAGAAAACAATGACAAAATTGAGGAAAACACAGAGAAAACCCTATAATAATTTTGAAAGACAATACAAGAACAAAATGACAAAATAAATGAAAAATAGGATACAAAATCTACAGACAGAAATCCAGAAAATTAATACTAAATTTTCAGAAATAGATGACACACTGAAAGGGAAAGGAATAGAACTGAATCGATGGAAGACAGAATTAGAGAGATTGAAGACAAATACCTGAATACTTCTTTGGAAAGGGATCAATCAGAAAAAAGATCAAAACAAAATGAAGAAAGCCTAAAGTTCATGTGGGATACCATCAAAAGGAATAATCTATGTGTAATCGGAATTCCAGAACAGGAAGAGACAAATAAAACCACAGAGAAAATTGTCGAAGATTTGTTGGAAGAGAATTTTCCTGGTATGAAGAAAGCTGAGAATATGTCCATTCAGGAAGTCCAACAAACCCCAAACAGGATAGACTCCAAAAGAAAATCACCAAGGCATATCATCATCAAACTCACCAAAACCAAAGACAAAGAAAGAATCATGAGAGCAGCACGGGAAAAACGAAAAGTTATCTACAAGGGGCAACCAGTAAGACTAAGCTCGGATTTCTCAGTAGAAAGCATGCAGGCAAGAAGACAATGGAATGGTATATATAAAACCCTGAAAGAAAAAAATTTCCAACCAAGAATTATGTCCCCAGCAAAACTGTCCCTCAAATATGACGGTGAAACTAGGACACTTCCAGATAAGCAGAAATTAAGGGAATTTGTTAAAAGCAGACCAACCTTACAAGAGATGCTGAAGGGAGCCCCTTGGACAGAGAAGCAAACAGCCAACAACAACTGACCATTAACACACGTGATGATATAACCCAGAAACCAACCCAGCTATGGAAGGATCCAAAATAAAGAAGCCTACAAGATTGTAAACAGGGAACCAGAGACACCAACTGACAAATGAGGACAACTACAAACCAAAAAGAGGGAAAAAACTGTGTCATTACAGAACTTCTAGACAATAGGGAAATCAAGACAACTACAAGATAGAACAGACTGTTCTAAACTTGGGAAGAAAACTATAAATCACAGGATAACCT